GGAAACACAAGGGTAGTTTTACTAATCTGACTTGGACAGTGACAAAAGGAAGTCCTCGGGAAACACAAGGGTAGTTTTACTAATCTGACTTGGACAGTGACAATAATACTCCCCACACCTCAATGGCTGATCAGAACTACAGAGGAAAATTTTGTTTTATAAATTAATCCTACTGTATCTCGCATGATGCAGAGTAATTATGGGAGACTGAATGTGATAATGAGTACACGTGCCTGAAGAAAACTATGTACATTGGCAAGGACGTAAACATGTAAAATATGAAATTGCTTAAAGTTGTCTGTTAGCTCACAAAACATAAGAATTTTTAAATGTTCTTACATATTTTGTTTAAAAATATCCAAATTCATGGGCAGGTTACACTAGTTTCAAAATATGATAAAACCTGTTTCCTGCTTCCTTTTGTAGCCATATAAATACAAACCGTTCCATCCCATGTGACATGTAAGTTTTTACTACATTAAAACTTATCTCCCTTACATGTTTCAGTCCTTTCAGGCCATCTTCAGAGGGAGCATCATTACAAACTGGAAACTACTATCACAATAGGTGTTTTGATTTAAAATACATACACTTATATCCTATAGTGCACAGTACGCATAAAGTCAAACGTTTCACAATCACAGCAGCTTCCTGGGGTTGTAAAGTTTTTAAAAGTTTCTAGATGTTATTTAAAAAACCTTTATTGTCAATAGTTAAAATTTTTTAAACCACGTAGGTTTGTGTCCATACTCCTATCGTCCTTCTTGTATGGGGCAGATTTTGTGCCGCCTGTCTATCTTGATGAGAAGTGAAAACAACACAGCAAGCCATGAACAAACCCTGGATGACATCAAGAACCTCCTCATGCATGCATGGTGGGCTCAATCTCCCTGCGCCGCAAACATTTAGGCCTGCTTCTAGTTGATTTGCATAATACTGATCAAAGGGATATGACACTGTGTAGTCTGTTCTAAGAGTATATATCTTTCACAGGACCATAGTACTTCCATCTACATGGTCAAAGGGTTAAATAGCAAGAAAGCAGAGTGTTTGCATGTTCTACTCCTGAATTCTGAAATAGAGGTAGTTTGTTGTTCGAAATACCTGTGATCCACAAGACCGGAGTCACATCCTGAAAGATAGCATCCTTCAATCACTACCATCCAAATGTCAAAATTTCATGAAGTTGGAATGCATTTATAACACTCCTAAAATTACACCAGAATACCAACCTTCTTTTAACTAACTTACTGCATACAGTCTTACTCATACAGCCAATTAATCATAAGGTTTGAGTGTAAGGTGAAAACCATGTCTAGTCCCCTTATGCTTATATATGAAATATATATCTTTTTCATGAATGCGTTTATTTAAATGGGTAGTTACAGNACCATGTCTGCCTTGTAAGTACTGTATTAAAGTTCCAAATTCAACTTCAGGATCATAAATCATTAAGGAAACTGATTTGCCCAAGTTCATGTAGCATTCCAGTGAAAATTTTACTATCAGAAAGTAATTTAGTTGCAAGATCTGAGACTATGAGGTTGCCAACAGAATGTAAAGAGACAGTGATCTCTTCCTGTCTTGTGCTTTCCTTACTTTACTTCATCATAAGTGTGTCACAGTCTCTCCTAGTGGCCAATAAATTATCTCATTGCAACTGATGCTGGTAGTTCTGGCTGCAACACCTTTGAGACTCTCATGCAATCCAGCTCCGTAGTCCGTCCCAACAGATTCATTTACTTACACTTAATGACATTTATGGGAGTACATCTCACTTTGGGACTAATCCCTTTAATTAATTCACTTTGATATAACCCTGAAGGGAGAGGTGAGTGAAAGGTCAGAGTTTTGGCTAGAGTGCCAACCTACAAATGCTTTCCTACTGAGTTTATACATAGTGTGAAGGGTATCCTAAGAATGAAATGAGACTTTGAAACTCCTTAGACGTTAGATTTCTCCTTTTCCAGGATAAATACAATTAGCAAACAGCTGTACTATAAAGTGGAAGGAACACTGTTCTAATCCCATGTACAGGGGTCATAGTCTATCAGTATAAGTGGCCAGCTGCTTGCCAGTCACAAAATAGGCCATTCATGAAAACTGAAGATTCATTACCACATGTGTGACTATCAGCTTACCAATGACTGCTGCATGGAGCTGATTTTGTCATAAGGTGCAAATTTATGCACATGATGGATTTTCTATAAAGAACTAAAACAGTCTGAGGAGGAAGTGGTAGTGGCCTGTCAGTAACTATTCTACTGTGAACCACACACCACACCTCATCTTTATATGTGAACTTCTCAGATTGAAATCAAATTTGTTTATATTTTGGATAGATGAGTACACAATTTTCTGGAAGGGCTTCAGGTGAAATTGGTAATGGCCCACTTCACACTTTTACTCCGAACCGCATACTACATATCATTTATTTCGACATGAATCAGAACTATTTCCCCAGTTACTCTATAACTGTACTATGTACTATGGTAACAATGACATGGACAAATCTTCTTACGGTGGATCAAAAGAGATTATGGGTATTCGTTCCACTTGCTGGTCAATATTTAATATTCTTTTATTTCACATTCACATGTTGGAATGATATGGAAGAAATGTGATCGAACACGAATTTGGAAATGTACAGACCCTTTTCAAACTTCGGTGTGGCGTCTGAAGACGATTTCGACGAATAGTGACATATTGATATAATATCCGACAAAACTAAAACTACGAAACACTATTGTGCAAAATCCTTCTCTCGGTTGAGATTCGAATAGATACATTACAAAAAAAAAAAAAAAAAAAAAGGGATGGCAACTATATAACATTGAATTGTAGGATGACTGATGATATTCTTCTCAGGGCCACCAGGCAAAAGCCTGGAAGGACTGAGAAATACAACAAAAATACTTCATCATGGACAGTCAACAACGTGNCAGTGTTAAAAAGAGCCACTAAAATATTACATCTGGAAAGCATAAACGCCACAGAAAATCATGTTTCTATAGAAAAAATAATATACGAAATTTAAAAAATAAACAATATACAAACGCAAAGCTAAAAACGAACAAAGAACCTACCAAATTAAATAATATATGTCAATTATGATTAAAAGGTCTTCAAATTGTCTTATACATTCAACATGCGTAAATCTTTACCTTAGTACCAATTTTATTGCCGCACTGGCCAACCTGGATATGTACGATTTCCCTCATTTTGTTCCGCTGCTTCTTCTACAACGCTTTCTTCTTAATAACTGCAAGTAAATTGAACTAAACTGGTCTGCTGTCGGTTCCCCTCTCGGATTTCTGTAGCTATGGAAGCGACGCCCTTGCTCTGACCTTTCTGGTCAATTTTCTATTGCTGGAGTGACAGATTCACGTATTGGTCTAATTTGTATAGACCCGGCACTAACCTCATGAAAAATGTCGTT